TGTTCTTTTTTTGGTTGGGGGGAGAGAGAGAGCAGGTAAGAGTGAGGGCGAGCAGCGGAGGGGAGTGGGGGGGCATGGGGAGAGAGAGAGAAAGAGAGAGAGGATCTCAAGCAGGCTCAATGCTCAGCATGGAGTCCCATTTGGGGTTCAAGCTCACGACTCTGGGCTCATGACCTGAGCCGAGATCAAGAGTTGGGACACTCAACTGACTCAGCCACCCACGCACGCCCAAAGTTATTGTGTTAATTTCAATTTTTTTTTTTTTTACGTCTCCGGTGAAACAAATATATATATTTAAAGTTTTTATTTATTTATTTTGAGAGAGAGAACAAGCAGAGGAGAGGCAGAGAGAAGGGGAGGGATTCGTGGGATAAAGCAAACAGAAATTATGAGATTACTTTCTCACGCGGTAGGCAAATCCTGACTAACCGGCTTCCGTTGTCTGCTGAGACGTGGGGCCATCTGGACCAGCCCTGCTAGGGTACAAGAGCCCCTGAGGGCCGGGAGTGACACCATCTTCTGACTCGGGACCCAGGAAGTTCCTCCAGTTTCTTCCTGGTCCCAAAGTTCTGTACCTGGAATATGAGAACTGCTCGGCAGGGGTAAATAGCTTTATGGGACTTGAAGGGACAGGTTGCCATCAGCCGACACGGATGACTGACTCATTGTTCCTCAGATATGGTCCCACCAGAATAGCAGCCTCATACAATTACAGTTTGAACCGGTCCCCACGTAAGAACGTGAAGAGTGCAATTTTAACATCGTAGGACATTTGTAGTTATCGGATAAAAATTTGGCTGCTTAATATTGGATTGGTAATCTCTCACCAACCAGTTCTGCTTCATGACTGAATCGCAAATGCTGTCCTTAGCTGGAACCAAGGTTTGGTAAAATCAGAACTCCAAAGCTGAGACGGGGGTGATCACATGGTCGGACTTGAGTAAGGGTTAAGTAAAGATGCATTTTCTGCCGGTGTTTCTAGAACGTGATTAGTTTAAATATGTCTGTCTTTGTCTGAATGTCATTTTATTGTTATTTTTAAAATTATTTTTGAGAGACAGAGAGAGAGACAGAGCGTGAGCACAGGAGGGGCAGAGAGAGAGAGGGAGACACAGAACCCGAAGCAGGCTTCCAGGCTCCGAGCCGTCAGCACAGAGCCCGACGCGGGGCTCGAACTCGCGAACCGCAAGATCATGCCCTGAGCCCAAGTCAGACACTTAACTGACTGAACCAGCCAGGTGCCCCTGAATGCCATTTTTAGAAGATGCAGATGTTACAGAAATCTATAACAACAGAGTGGAAATTCCACGTGAACCTTTTATATATACTCAAGTATTTCTGGGCTTTGGTTTATTCCATTCACCTATTTGCTTATTCTGGAATCAGTATTATGCTTTTAATAACTGTAGCTTTCTAATAGTTTTATGCTTTAGTAGTACAGCCATCCCTCTTATTCATATTTCCCTCGTGTGTTACTTCCCGTTAGAGTCATTTTGACAAACAAATCCTGTTGTGGATTTGTTGACGTGTTATTATGCTGAACTTACAGGTTGATATAGAGTGAAGTTACATCTCTGAACTGTGGAGTTATTCTAGTTAAAAATAAGAAATTGGGGCGCCTGGGTGGCTCCGTCGGTTCAGCATCCGACTTCAGCTCAGGTC